AAGTTTAATGTAAAATAAACAAAAGCTTTCCTGAATGCATTGCTCAAGTTTCTCAAACTTGCTGGTAACTGTTTTTGACTAAAATGTTCTAAAGGGATTTTATCGTCTTTGTCAACTGCTGTGTAACATTAACTGTAGCCACCACAATCAACCTCAAATGTTAAGTGTATGCCACTAAAACGATAAAATGTGTGCCCTTGCTGCCCAGAAAGAGGGAGAAACATGGCAGAGAGACATCCACACCATACATTAAAAGTGCATTTATTTATGAAAATATTTTAATCTGCTCTTCATTTAAAAAAACCCAAGCATTTTACAACAGCCATACAATCAAATACAATAAAAGCCTCATCAACTACCTATTACTGAAATATATTTTTTTATTGCATTGCCTGCATAAGCTTAGCAGCATAAAAAAGTTTTCAGCAGATGTTCAAAAGGTGAAAAAAGGCACCTGCTGAATCTTTCTTGGAAGAGCCTTTCCCAGGACTGGGCCAAGAACACTAAAGGCTTGGTTTCAGGCCACTGTCAGATGAGCCTCACTAACCTTGGGATGACCAATGATGCTCCTGCTCCTACTACTTTAACAGTCATGGCTTTCCCCAAAGAATCATGGGAACTGAGTCCCCCTCACAGAGCTACTATTCCTGACACCCTTGACAAACTACAGTTCCCAGGATTCTTTGGTGGAAGCCATGCGCTTTAAATGTATGATGTGAATGTACCAACAACCAACAAGACTGCGACCGGTGATGTATTTTTGCCAGCAATTTTCTGGTGGTCCAGGTGGTAGATGTAGTTTGAAAACCGCTGTCTTAGGGAATTAGAACATTCCGTACATTATTGCATCTTGCTATTTTGCTTAGATAACCAGCCGCCTGTGTTCCAAGCCCCAGCCAGCCAGCTTCTGACGTTTGCAGGAGAGAATTTTGTGTACCAACTGCTAGCAGTGGATCCCGAGGGATCAGCCGTGCTGTTCATCTTAGAAGGCGGACCTCCAGAAGCCACCCTCTCTCCTGCTGGCCTTCTCATTTGGAAAGTCAGCTCTGCCAAATCAGAGAGCTTTGAATTCACCGTGTCTGATGAATGCAATGCACAAAGCAGGCACTCGGTTCAGGTAGGAATAGGGAACCCTTCAGAAAACTGGTTTATCACACTATCCGTTGCTTCCATTATAGCTAATAATTTGTTACTGTCTTTAAAAAGCTAAGACTTCAGCTATTTTCAAGTAAGTGCATATTATCCAACATGACAGTAATGATCAATTAATCTAATAAATAACTTGGAGAACGTAAAACCCATATATACAACGAACAAAGAGAGGGTACTATCGATTGCTGTCTGAAAGAACACTTTTGCCGAGCCTCTTAATGGTTCATTAATCTGCTTTAAAATTCACTGTGTGCATTTGGATCTTTGAAGAAAAGCACATAACAACATAAAAGACCAGGTTTTCGCCATAAAGGGGAGAACATAATTCATTTGCAATGATATTTTTAGAGGTTCCCATGCTCTTATGTCGTTACTCCAGAGCCTCAGCTCCCTGGCAGTGCTTCTCTTCTGCTTTGTCTTTATTGCAAGGTGTTCCATTAATCCTTCAATAGGGTGGGCTAATGAGGAAAATGCATAGGAGGAGGAAACTTACAACCAGAAGTGTCTCGCTCACAATGGGTAATTGTTAAGGAGCCTGGAACGAGATAAGTGCAGGATAAATATTAACCCACAACACTTGGGTACAGAATTTACATCGTACCATACCCAGACTTACTTGGAAATGCATGAAAAAGAAAGACACACCAGACCACAAGACGCACCTAGTTTTTGGAGGAGGAAAACAAGAAAAAAAATATTCTGAATCTCAGAAGCCAGAACAGCAAGAGGGATCGCTGCGCCAGTGAAAGCAGCAATCCCTCTTGCTGTTCTGGCTTCTGGGATAGCTGTGCAGGTCTGCATTCGCTCCATAAGACGCACACACATTTCCCCTTACCTTTTAGGAGGGAAAAGTGAGTCTTATAGAGCAAAAATACGGTAAGTCAAGGATTAGATTCATAGTCTATATAAGGCCAAATTAGATGTTATGCCAAATACACAGCTGCCACTGAAAATGGCAAGTGTGTGGCTTAACTTTCCCCTTCCTCTCTGCAATGCTAACTGTGTCCTGATAGTTCATCTTTACTTAGTCCATGCCAGCAGCCAAGGATGTGGCGCAGCAGTGGGGAAATGCAGGATGTTGTGGCATTAAGGGATGAGCAAGTTCTGCCAGCTATTACAAAGGTGCTGGGAGGCGATGGCATACCTTCAGTTTTCAGTGGCTATTGCATATTTCTCAAGTTGCATTAAGTGCCCCATAAGTGCTGCTTCTAGTAGACCTGCAACAAGAGTGGCAACAATAGAGAGGTCCTTTTCAGTAGTGGGATGCTCCCCCAGCAAAGTTCACCAAGTACTGACCATATCTGATTCTTTCTGTTGGCTTGGTGTGATTTGCTGCTGGTTGGTATTTTAATGCTGATCATGCTGATGTTGTGTGTTTGCTGCGGTTTATTGTAGGATTACTTTTTGAAACTCTCTCTGGTGCTTAATTTTTATGTAATTTTGTATCTGTATTGCATTTTTTGGTGCAAGCCATTTTGAGATCTCTGTGGTATAGATGACAAATAACAATAATTTGGCCCTCGGTATGCCTCAGCTACATTCAGACAATATTGCTCTGTATTTATAATTTCTATTGGAGCTACAAACCATGGTTACATAGAATTCTAAATGACTAGATCTTGAAATAGCTGTTTTTACTAAAAGAAAAGTTTTAGGAGGCTGGATACTGAACCCTTCCTTTGTAGAAAAGGTAGTTAGATGCTCCATTGCAATGCAGTGCAAGAGAAAGAAGAAACATCATCCCAGTGCTTTCCTCTTTTAGATTGCAGTGAAACCATGTGGCTGTTTAAATGGTGGAACATGTATCACCAACATCAACTTCCCTCCGGGTGTTGGTGAATATCTCTGCATATGTCCCAGTGGATTTGAACAGGAACTTTGCCAGAACAGCCGTAATGACTGCCAATCAAACCCATGTGGGATTGCTCCTGTATCAATGGAAAAGATAGTTACATTTGTAAATGTCCAGCAGGTTGGAAAGGTAAGCAGAGCTTTGCATTTTTTTCTGGAGTCTCCTTACTGTTTTCTGGTCAAATTTAGAGGCAGTCTATATACTACTCCTGGTATGTGGAAGTAGAGTCTGGCACACTGAAGTGGTATCTGAATATCATCTTTTCCACATGGCAGGGTTAATGCATAGAAACCTAAGGATGGACTAATCTGTCAATTTCAATCGCTCATTTCCCAGTTTTAAGTTTAGTTCACTACATTGTGATTTTTTTTCTTTAAAAATCTTCACAAAAATTCATCAGCATTCCTTTGGTTTGTAAACTGCCAGGTTAAAATTTGGAGAGGTGCAAATGGATTTTGGTCCATGTATTGTTTTGGGAAGTAAAACTTAGATAGTTTTGCATTAAATTGTGAAGCAAACCAAATTTCTCTCCCACTCTTTTGAAGCAAAGAGACAGAATCAGTTATTTTCTACTTACTAACTCTGGAACACAGGCATCTGTCCACTGCTCCCACTACTGTACTTAATTGTTGCTTAATTGTTGCAGATTAGGTAACACGAATGATTCTGACATCTGACACTTGTGCCTGAACTGACACCTCAGGATAATCAAAACACAGGTTGAGGAACTTTGGAGTATTTCCACACTAAGGCCCTTTAGTACATCTGAGACATTGCTTTTCTCCTATTAGCACAAAATACAAATACAAATTCCACACAGCAGCAAATATACCCCATTTATTACCTAGCAATATCGTTTTTCTGGTTAATGTCTTTCTAATATCTTTCTTCAAGTCAATCAAATTCACCAAAGTTGCTTTCAGCAAATGCTAATTGAAAGCATCTTGGTTGCTAGTTCAGCCCATTTAGTTGCTTCCTCTTGTTCCTGGCTGGGAGATTATAAACAGTCTTATTTGCTCCATGAGTAGCCACTCTGAATTACCACAATGTCAGTTTCTCTTCTCATGGGGTGGGCGTGGGGCTTTAATTATCTACTTGATAGGCTATTCAGTCTATAAGTCAGAAGCCATTCATTACCACTAATATATTAAATTCAATCCCTTATCTTGGAGCTTAAACAGATCTCCATTTCCAAGCGGACATCTCCAGCAAGCAAAATAGTCACATTTCCAGTGAAGCCGTGATTTAAGTAATCAAGGCTTTCTAAGAATATGATCCCATGTTAATTTCTGGAGAGAATGAATTTCTCTGCAAAAGGATTTAAGGCCAATATGTACAATGATTTAATAAAAAAGAAGGTGTGCAACAGATGATGCTAACCACCAAGCAAAAGGGGGGGGGAATCTCAATTCTTTAGATTGTAAGATAACAGGGGAACATAGTAATCTTTTAAGTTAGTCCTGACAGTAGCAAATACACTGTGAACAATGGGGCCCCTTCATTCCATTTATTAATAATCCTAGGAAAAGTGATCTGCTTCAATTCCCCCCTTTTCCTTCAGGTTCATGTAAATAAAAATATTCACTGTTTTTGCCATTATTTTCCTCTAGCAAGTAGACTTGGGGAGGGGAAACCAAATAATCAAATGATTGAGTGAAATAGGAATATCTCTCACCTGTTTTAATGGCAGGTGAAAAATTATATGCAAGTGCAGCAGGAAGCCAGCTGGGAAGGTAGATGATTTCACTTCAGGGCAGGTTCCATTACAGCAATAAAAGCTTATCCTTGATGTTGTGTTTATGTCTCAATTCCCCAGAAAGCCATCAATAATCTAATGAGAAGGCAATGCTGTACTGCTCAAGTGACAAGACTGTTTCAGCGTCACTTCTTTACAAATGATAGCAAACAGATAGTAGGAACAAAGACACGAACTCTTTAGAGAGCACCTTAAGTATCATCTCTGGAGAAGCAACTCGTGGAGAGTGCAGGAAGCATTGTTATGCATACAGATATACAAGGGCAATCTTAATTCCTCTCTGCTGTCATTGATAAGACAACATTAATTTTGGATGCATGCCAGGGGAACAGGTAGAGGGCTAAAGATTTTTAAAAATGAGCAAGAGCCATGGGAATGCCTGTGTAGAATGTGGGCCCAGAGTTCATTTGCAGTAATTTTAAACTTTCATTTGATACCTTCCCACTGGGACATCTAAACGCATTGACAGATATTTAAAGGGTTTGGTGCTGATGCTCATTGCCACCATTTTCTGTACAGAAAGAGCACAGTGAGGAGCACAGATATCGACAAGTTAAAAGATAAGGTGGGGGGCATAATTCACAAGGGAAAGCACACCCTTTCCTGCCTTCCCTTTGCAGTGTTCTTGTGTAAAAGCGTGTGAAGATTTTCACAGTTGGGGAGAGAAATGCCCCTTTTGCCACGTTGGGAGAGCTCTAGTCATGTGTGATTAGATGCTCCAAAAGGCTGTTGAGGGTGCACATTAGAATGGACCTTTGAAGAGATGTGGACCTGGATAGACAACACCTGCATTTGGATGCGGATTCAGTCCCAGGCTTGTCACATTGCTCTCCAATGAAAACCAACATACAGAGAAACAAGGAGTGCTTCCATCAGGACTGTGGATGCTATGCATCAAATTGTCTTTCCATTGTGACTGCACTACACTGGCACACACAAATATTTTCCCGCTCAGATTGCCTCCATTTTGTTTCCACATTTACATTTTGCCTCTCACCTACCATGTTGTCTACCTCGGGTTGCTAAGATGGCAAGGGCTATCAACCAGAAACAAGGGTTGCTGGATTGGACCAGGCTAACCCCTACCATCTATCAAAATTGAAAAACAGTATGTCCTAACCCCTAAGTGTCATGGGCTGAAGAATTCTGACACATGCAAATGCCCAACCTCCCTGCATGTGTCCTAATGTAATCAGTAGAACACTCATCCACTCATTCATTATCAGTACCACAAGGCCTGTGCTCTTTTATGGTTTTCCTAGCACCACATGACCTGTCCCATCATCATCTTCCCGTTTTCAAGAAAGTGATCCTAACATCACGATTGCTTTTTCTCCCTCTGGAAAAACCCATATCAGCAGAAACCATAACGTTTATTTTCTAACTTTTGAATGGTTTTTGGGTTCCTGAACCAAGAGATTAATCATACAATCAGAATGATTAATTTGATAACAAAGATATGGCAAAAGCCATTCATATATAAAACTATTGATCTTACAGAAACTTACAAGCAGAAGATCCCCAAAACCAAAGATATCTGAAAAAATTGGGTTCTAAAGAATATCTGTAGGAGAGGGGTAATTAGTAATTTAAAGCATCATGTAATTTACGTATATGGGAATAAACAACCTGCCCTTAACCAACTGGTAAAGTTTACTTTATCTACTATAGCAGAAGAGCTAAACAAAGCTTCAAATATTTTGTGTAGCTAAGATTATCATTGTCACTTAATGAACCCCATGTTGATTAAAGAAAAGCACCTGGTTAACATTCTGTGCTGACCTTCCAAAACACATGATCAGATTTCCAACCACTCTCTGCAACCCATTTTCTTAATAGCAGATTGAACTGCAGGAATTCATTGATTATCCTATTTAGGTCCATCTCTCTCTCTCTCTCTCTCTCTCTCTCTCTCTCTCTCCTCTCTCTCACACACACACACACACACACACACACACACACACAGTTTCACCTGCTGGTTTCTTTGTATCAAATTTCTATCCAAATCATGGAGACAGCTCAGATTGTTTTTTCTTCCAGCAGGTCAGCAAAAAAAAACTTTTTTTGCACAGTATAATCAGCTTTGGTTAGCAAAACCCAAAGGCCCAAATAGTGACCCTAGATTTCAAATTATATGATAACATTGCCAGGGAAAAAGGAAAACAAGAAAAGCATGAGCCGCAATTTGAGAAAAGGGGGTTATTCATTTCCTTTGGGTAGCTAATGCTTTTCACCATAACTCTCAAGGTTCCACATTTTTGATAGCAATAAGCTGACAGTAATGAACAGTGAAGCAGCAGCAGGATGAAATGAACCAGTGGGGAGTTTGGGTGGCAAATGAATGACATATTCTTCAATGAGTTTACAGCTGAGACACCTGCCTAGTATGCATGAAAGTTTAAGCTTAGGATTAATCAGAGGCTTTTCTGTTTATTAACCTCCACTGTGTTTTTCCTGGCACAGGGCTTACTTGTCAGGAGGATACAAATGAATGTGAAGAGGAACTTTGTTTTCCTGGTGTCTCTTGCACAAACACAGTCGGATCTTACACATGTGGCAACTGCCCCAATGGGATGCAGGGTGATGGTAGAAGCTGCAAATGTGAGTATTCTTTGTTTGTATTTATTTTTATATCATTTCGTGTGTGTGTGTGTGTGTGTGTGTGTGTGTATGTATATGTTTAAGCAATATGGGTATCCCATCCTGCACACATTCTGGTGCTTGTCTACAAAAACTGTTGCATGTGAAAAGGTGTAGAAATAAAAATACTACACACACACACACACACACACACACACAAACCCCAAATTCCACATCAGAGTAGGCTGGATGCTTCAAGCTGAGTAACCCACGCAACATCTGGAACATGCCGTCTTCTTTTTTGCACAGTATAATCAGCTTTGCTTAGAAAGTAAACAGGATTAAGACTGAGCCCTGATGCTTGGTTTCCTGGCCACTAGAAGTTCTTCACATGGCTTCTGAGAGCCTTCCTGACTCACCACTATACATAGAACCAGCCCCTTCAAGTGGTGGATCAAGCATCAGTCCCTCCTCAAGGGTTTTTGTCATTTGAGGCATGATGCTTGAAGGGGCCAGATTCCGTTTTTTGTTTTTTTTTTTTTTAGTCTAGCAGCTCATGCATGCTTAGTTCAGAATATCTGAGAATGAGCATAGGTAACCAGAGATGCTGCAAGTGTTGCATTAGGTCTGGAAGTGCAGGGGGAGTTTTATTAAAAACTTAAGTATAAAAAGTACAATCACAAAAATAGTAAAAAAAAATTAACTAATTGAAACCATATTTTAAATTGGTTAATACAGAAGGAGGATTATTCCCATCCACATATTCTATATTTCTTGGTAGCTGCTAGGATGACTGTTTAAACACAACAGAATGAGCTGTTTCTTGCGCCGCTGCATTCAGAGATCTGGGATGGAGGAACAAACTGACTTCAAACTCAAAGATGGAAAAGTCCATCTTTGAAATCCTGTTACCTAACAGGATTCCAGTTCATCACAACAGGCCTCATCAATGTGAAATGTCGCTTATATACTAGACCAATTCTGTTTTAGTTTTCATCATTTAGCAGCTTATTTTTCAACTCAGGTCGACTGATTTATGATGACTTTTTTGATATTGCACCTCTGTATTTTTGTTTGTTAAACCATAACATATCTCTGACAATTCGGCCATACTTAAAATTTTGATTTTCTTCTAGTGCCCTCACTCTTCAGACTTTATAAACTTGATTGGTTTAGAGGTTATGCTCACCCAAACCTTTATTTCTTTTTGTTGTAGCCTCCTCGCACAAGAGATACATTTTATTTACTTAAAAATCAATAAAAATCTAGTTACAAAAATATGTCAGTGGGTGAGCGCTGTGCGTGTGTGTTTTAACCCTCACTTCAAGAAAAGCGTGTGATGCTCAGAATTCCCTGAGCTGGTATTAGAGAGGGTGTTTAATGAATCATTCACTTCATTATGCATAAAATAATTTATGAACACTCCTGAGGATCTAGCCACCTGCCTTCTTGATTTTTCTGTTTGTGTATACTTGTCTATTAACCTTCAGTGTGGAGAAGAAACAAATTAAATGAACTAAAGAGGGAATGGCCAAGAACTTCACTCTTTTGTTGATTATAAAAGAAAACAGCACTGTGGGGGGGGGGGGAGAGAGAGAGAGAGAGCGTGTGAGGATAACAATAGCTTACAACTGAGGAATCCTAGAATCAATGTACCATCTATTGTAAAGTTGATTAAATCTTTCCTTGCTTAAATTTACAATTTAGCCTGATATAAACAGCTTTCTAGTCCTTTGCTTGAGTTCAGGGCATTTTGTGGCTGCCTTGAAGTGCATCTGTGTTTTGTGTGGGTTAATTCGATTAAGTGTGACTGGAGAAAGGAAGATTCAATTAAAGTCTAAGCAAAATCCTGCCCTTAGCCAAAATGTAGTTGCTTATTTGCACACAGCCAAGCTTTTTAAAAGCTTTCTTTGACATAACAGTTGTACCAAGCCTAAATAAGCAACTTCACTGAAGTAATGAAAACAGTTATTGCTTGCAAATTCCTTTTTCATGGAAGATTTTCTACTGCCTTGCCAACTTGGCTTGGAATGACATTCCAAGATATAAGAAGAGTTACTGTTCTGAGAGCTGAAACAAATCTGATTCAATAACTGGATTGCCTGGCTTTCCAAAAAAGGAAAAAACAAAAACCCATTGGCATGTAAAAGCAGCTGCAGAGACCTCCAAATTTGATTAGAGCAGCCGTGCTGAGGGACAGTGTTTTAATCCTCCTCGCCTTATGCAGCAGAATATCTGAAGACATGTGGGAATGGAATGAGGGTAGAAAGAGTTCCACAGCCCCAATGCTAGCCAAGGTCAGACAAGTTGGATGTTACACCACCATTGTTGCATGACAATAATGAAAGTATTGTTTTATCTCTGTTGGTGACACTAGTTAATGGAGAGACATAGCCCACTCTGGCGGATGCAAGAATATGATGCAAGAAGCTGCTAGCTGTCTCCTAAAGCCCATACTTTAAAAGCCTCCCATACGTTGCAACTGAGGCACATCCATGGCTTATTACCAAGATATGGGCCATTAAGTCAGCCTTGAGGGCTTTTTTGTTATATTTTGCTTTATTCATCGCAACAGCATTCCTTCATTAGCACGTCTCATGGCGGCTCCTCTTTTGTAATCAATGCCTTATCCTCAGCTGGGTCTTCAATGCTAACGCCTATGCTCATCCCGGCACCACGCAAAGTCCCACAAATCCTCATGCCTTGGAAAAGTTTCAGCTATATGTTGTGCGCAGTAGGTGGACTATGCTAACCTGTGCCTAAAGCGCCACCGTGAGTAATGGCTCCCCAACATTTGATGGAAAATATTCACACTTGCCTTCTCAGTGAAGCTAGCCAGTAGCTAATTGCTTTGAAGCATGGCTCCAAGTGGAATATTCAGTCTCTAACTTATTGGAGGAAATTAATATTTTAAATAGTCTCCAATGGACAATTTACTTGATTTACTTCCTTGAGCACTTTAAGCAAGAGTGTCCAAAGTACAGCTCTTGAGCCAGCTGCTGCTTGGAGACGTCACAGTGTAGTTTGGCAACGATCCATTTGGTATAAATGCAGGCTAGAGCTGGAGTAAGGCCAGCATGATTTTGTTTTTAATTGGCCAAGGTAATGTGTCATTTTAGTCCCTCCAGCAAAGTCTGTTACCTTATCAAAGGTCGTTTGGGTAGCAAACTTCTCTTTGCACGCCCTCCATTAGATGTGGATGCTAAATTATATCTTGTTTTGATGAGACTCCAGATGCTGACTCATTTGACCGCCTTTGTTCCCCAGTTGGCTTCTGGGATAACATCCTGGAGGGTTATCTGATTTGATGTTAAGTCTTCATTTCCATCATTAATCACAGCAAAAACTAACGCAGTGCTTCTTTCACCTCTGCTCTTTTTTATTACAGTTGAGGACAGTGCTGACATGACAGAAGCTTTCATTAATGATAATCATAATCCTAAAGGTGAATGGAAAAAGAGTGAAAGTAAACAGCCAGTCATACCTCTAGAAGCGAAGACGTTGCCTGCAATTAAGTATGTTAATATTACTGATGTTCATGGTAAGTGAAGTGTGATTAGATGAGTGTCAAAAGGTTTCTTTTCAGACTTTGTTGTGTATGTACATAGCTGTCACTGGTTGCACAAAACTAGTCTCCTAAACAGTCTTTGCATAAAAGCTTAAACCTATGGATTGAAAAAGCATACAAATCACTTTTAAATAACATTAGCTCTTCAGTGTGTTGGCAGGGATATTAATTATGATTGATAAGAAGACTGGGTGACTGCCTGTGCTTCTAAAATTATGGGATCGGGCCCAATAAAGCACGGATGGGCAACCTTCCTGGTGTGACCTTCCAATAAGTTGTTGGACTTCCTATCAGCATGAACCAGTATGGCCAATAGGAATGGATGATGAGCGCTGGAGTCTAACAACATCTGGAGGCTGTAAGGTTCCTTATCCCTGTATTAGGGACACAATGTTGCTGCTATGAGAGAAGGAAGTTCCCGCCTTCCTGTTTTAGAACAGCAGATTCCTGTCTAGCCAAGACTGGGGGGTTGACCCTATCTACTAAGGAAATAAAAGATAGATAATATAAAGCATGCATAGAAAAGTTAATTCTGCCCAATGCACATGGGATTGTGGTTTCAAAAGTACATAAGAAGAATTGTATCTAGCCCAGCATCATTCTTCCCATAGTAGACAACAGGGTGTCTCTGGGAAGTCTACAAAGCCTTTATTATCCTCCTGCTCCTTCCCAGCAACTGGAATTCAATGGGGCACTGTTTCTGAACATGGAGGTTCCATTTAACCATTGTAAGTGACAGCCATTGAAGGACCCTATCCTCCACAGATCCTCTATAAAGTAGGGGCTGATTGATCTTTCTGTTCCTAGTTTGTGTTCTTTGGCATTTTTTTTATTAAATATTCATGTTATTCCATTTCTGCACTGAACCAAGAATTGGGTTGTTGTGGTTTTTGTTATTCCCTTCCAAATGCAACCACTGCCACCACAACCCATTCGCTGTTCATTGCAGAAACAGAATAGAATGATGATGGTGGAATTTAAACATGCAGTTTCCCCCCAAAATATCTAAATGTGCATTTTGATGACTTTAAACTGCTTCCAACTGCCATGAAAATCCAGTAGATTGTTCAATTCTGTTCTGCACATTATTCTGAAAGGTGCAGATCAGGCAACAGCAGAGCTAATAATGACAGGAAAACTACATCGGCTAAATTGCCATGCCAAGCTACTGTTAAAGGCACAGGAGCAGGGTCAATGTGTTTTTTTATTATTTCCCTAAGTAATGTGAAATACCACTTTTTCCATACAAGCAAGTGTGAGAGGAGGCAATGTTGCACCCAGCCATTAGAGGAAATAGGTGGTGACGTTAAGGTTCCAGACCCATGTCTGCAAACTAAAATGAGATTTGGGGGGATGTTTCAAGGGGAAACAGGCTTTAAGCAGGAGGGTGGAGCACTCCCTTCTCCATTGGTCCTTTCCATTTCAAAGCACCCTCTCCAACAGATGCTCTGCAAAGGAAAGAGGGCCTCTAGGGCTTCCATAGATTTGCTTGTGGTGAAATATACGTTGTTTGCCTCCTACTAATGCAGCTTCTTCGCTTACGTAATTGTTCCCCAGCACTGAAAAATTACCATTTCTATTTCACTCCTGATAAATGCCAAGCACCTTTGAATAGTAAACTTTAAAACATGTAATTAGAAGGCTAATAAATCTTGCCTTAATGAGAAACAGCTGGCTTGATATGTTGCGCCTTCAGGGTTTTCTTATGCTTGGCACACAATTTTGGGACATTCAACATTAATTATATTGTAAAAGAGTAAAAATAATGGAAAGCCTTGGCCAAAGCTCATATTAGCTCCCTGCTTAACTTTTTAATTAACTTTCCCGTTAATAGTTTAATATTGAGAAATGGCTCTTGGATACTGTTTTAGGTCATGGAGCAGTTCTGCCACCCATTACTAACTGTGCCAACAGACCTTGCTTTCCTGGAGTTGTCTGCATTGACCGTAAACCTCCAGATATTGGATATCTCTGTGGCCGATGTCCAACAGGTTTATCTGGAAATGGACGAATCTGTACAAGAGCATCAAGACCAGGTACCTGCCTTTCATTTGGGAAGTTAAATATGATGATGATGATGTTGATGATGATGATGATAAATAATAATAATTTTATTTATATCCCGCCCTCCCCAGCCAAAGCCGGGCTCAGAGTGGCTAACAACAGTAAAAGTAAACACAGCATTCTAAAATCAATTCATTCTAAAATTAATTCAGAATCAAATTAATGGCAACCATTAGTCTAGCATTAGTCTAAATAAGTTGGATATTGGGTGGTAGACTTTTTATATACATTGTAGCATTATATTTCAATGTTAGCATTTTACTCAATCAGTAAAAGAAAAGGAGTAGCAGAATGCCAGGTCATACTATTTGTCCAACCAGCCCAGGATTTTCTACTCCGACAAAAAGAGGCTCTTGGATACTTGATCCTTAGAACTGAAGCTGCTAGGGATTGAACCTGGAACTGAAGCTGCTAGGGATTGAACCTGGAACCTTATACATGCAGTTCATGTGCTCTACCACCAAGCTACTGAGACTTCATCACAGCAGTTGTGCTCTAAATCAAACCATCTTTTTGAAATGGGAGCTGAAAGCAGCTCCCAGTTTATAGCATCCACAAGCTAGTCAACAGTTTAACACTATGATGTCATTGGTTAACTGTACCCACTTTCCTTGTTGACTGTGATCAGAAGGTCGGCGGTTTGAATCCCTGTGACGGGATGAGCTCCCGTTGTTCGTGTTGGGATACTGCCAGGGAGACAAAGGCCATCATTGTTCCACGTCGCCTCCGGACGATCCATCGATCTCCCGTAGATACAGTATCAGTCAATTAGCAACACGAAGCCTCAGAAATAGCTTGCCACATTCCAGAGCTCGTGCACGCTCTATCAGCAGAGTTTCGCACAAGGAAAGGTGCACTCCGGAGAGCATTACAACTTTATTCAGCGTTGATCAGAACAAAGAAAAAACATGACTGCCTGCTTCGATGTCTCAGGCACAGAGAGAGAACGAAAGCAATAAACAAAAGAGAAACTTCCTGTGAACAGGAAATACGCAGACTCTGTGACTCACAAAGCCTGCTCCCTTTTAAGGTGGAACGGAAATATCCTAACAGTTCGGTCCCTGCTCCTGCCAACTTAGCAGTTCAAAAGCATGTCAAAGTGCAAGTAGATAAATAGGTACCGCTTCCTGCGGGAAGGTAACTGGCATTTTCGTGCACTGCTCTGGTTTGCCAGAAGCGGCTTAGTCATGCTGGCCACATGACTCGGAAGCTGTACGCCGGCTCCCTCGGCAAATAAAGCGAGATGAGCACCGCAACCCCAGAGTTGGCCACGACTGGACCTAATGGTCAGGGGTCCCTTTACCTTTACCTATATCAACATTACCCATTTAGAAACAGATCCTTGTATCAATGACAGGGGGTATTTGATAATAAAAGTGTTCAGACTATCTCTCGGTAGTGGGTTGCACATGGTCTAGCTCTAGTTTTCAAACACTGATTATTTTATTAATTTCTGTATTTGGGTTATGAAGAGTGCTGTGATGATAGAGAAAGAGGTGACCCCCAGGTCTTAGGGACATGGCAGAAACAAGGCACATGGCCACAAAAAAGAATTCAAGATTTTGGCTATCAACCAACCAGATCTCTTGTCTTCTTTTTTTTAATTCTCCCAATTCTTCATAGCCTCTGGAAGGACAAACAGGATAAATTATCCTTGTCTGCTAAATGGTGCCTGAAACTTCATCAAAAAGCTTGTCAACTGTTCATTTAGAATTCTGAGGAGGGTTTTATTTAATTATTTAAGTGAGAGTTCCTATTTATATTTCTTATGATATGACCCTTCTGCAAAGGTAGCACTCATCTGTTGCACCATTTTTTAATTTAATACCAAATTCCAAGAGTGGCACAACTGGAAAAAAAATTGACTGAACTGAAGCCTATGGGCTTTGGGGGGAAAGGGCTGCCATTCAATAGTCTGATGGTTTTTCAGTATAAGACTTTTCAGTTATCATGATGGAGTGCAAAACTTCAGTTAATCATTAGTTATACATGCAATTCTCTTTAAATGGGGCCTCCTGAATGCTCAGTTTCCTATAATGAGCAGACTCTAGGAGCAGACTTATTTATTTGAGCAGAAAGAAACATCAGTCATGCCATTCCTCTTTCTGTGTTGAAGAAAGGTGTAATCCTAATTGAGAAAAAAGACCACAAGCAGAACTCATAGATGGTCATTTGGATTTGCATCTCTCATCCTTGAGAGATGCAGATAACCAACTTGTGAAGTAGTACAAGTGAGGATTTCCTAAATTTGTGCTAACGTAAAAAAAGATGAAGTGTGAAAGTATAGGTGCAGTCTTTAGTCATTGCTTCATTGTTCTTTGTTTAGCAAAATAGATTATTATTAACATGTTCTTACTAAGCCTTTTAAAGGCTTTTCCATGTGTGGAGCAAAAGCTCAAGGTTCCAGTTGTGTGACTGCACCTCCATGTGTACAGGATAGGCTCAAGTACTTTATATAACCTGATGATTAAAGCGGATGAAATGGAAGAGTAGATAAATTAAATTTACATGCATGAAGAATTGTGATTATTTGAATAATAGTTCTGATCTGCCAAAGAACACTCTTCCAGTTCCTAAACAAAGATCTCCTCTGACTAGTAAGATTCCAAGTGACATTTAAAATATTTAAACGAAAGGAGCTTCTCGGTGGCTCACACATTTTTCTGTCTTATCAGATGGCTTTGATTCAATAGTCATGATTTAAGGATTAAGAGATAAGCATTTATTCATACAAAAATTGCAAAATTGCCCATCTTTACCAAAGTGTTTTTGTACTCATGGGGGAAGAAAAATAAGCTTTTTCTTTTCTTTTTGCAAACAGGAAATTATTTTTCAAGACAGCACCTGGGAAGAAAAAAACATTCTGATTTATTGTCACCAAGTGCTTTATTGTAACTGACTACTGCTTAGGGATAGGAGTGAAATCTAGTGCTATTTGTGAGCTCCAATTATTGCCCCTGTTCCATACATCAGCTTCTGAGATGCATTTTCTTACTCTGGTAAAGAGAAAAGTAGAGCTTTTCTCTTGTTTCACTTGTAGATTTTATTGCTGAACTGTATTTCTCTTTCAAATATGACAACAATGAAAATTGCATAAAGGCTTATTAGCTATGAGAGAGAAGCTTAGCACACTATTTGTTAGTGCTGCAAAGCAATACTTTGGGTGAAGTTACTCTCAGGTTTTCACCTGCCATTACTGAGCAGCAGCTTCTAATCAACTCAAGCCTTATAGTCGGAACTGGGATTTCCAAGGTTGTCTAGTGCAAGTCCCTACAGTTGCATGTTACGATCCCAAGACCTCCCCCAATAAATAAAGACACAATTGACACAGAATTTAGTTTAAGGTTATTGGCATAATTTTGGCCACAACTTTATTGATTACAGATCGTGGGTGGTTTGCTTAGGCATTGGTTCCCGACTAGCTGCACCTGACCTCAGCAGGGCAGCACTGACACCTGGACTCCGGCAGACATCAGTAGGGGAAAACATCCTGGGGGAGCATTGGACCAGGTTCAGACTCAAGCTCACTCCAGATGCTCCCAGGGGCTCTGGTGTGACACTAACCCCTAGAAGGGGATTGGATAAAAGCAAGGCAAGCCCCTGGATTTCTTTAACAGAATACCCTTTGGCACATTGGGGGGGGGGGCAGGTGTGACAACCTCCCTTCGACCACACCTTGAACCAATGCCTAACCACCAAACCTTACAAAGTTATGACGATTTGCTACGCGGCAGGCAAAACCCAAGTGGCACCAGCCAATCAGCCAAATGGGAAAATTCCTACCGGGCCCCTGTCCCAAGAACAGATGACCCATGACAGCATAGCAAGTTCATAGCAAGACCCTAAATATAAGGAGCGTGGGAGGGTGATCCAGTGCACGAGGCGAAAAGAGGAAGCTCAACGCAACATGCAGCGGTATATATGGCTCCCTCTGTTAATGCATGAAACGATTCCATTGGCCAGATTTACCCCAGCCACCGAGGGACCACCAATTGGTTTCTTATGGCTACCAATCACTCCCACCCACAACAGGAGTGAAGTCAGTCTTGATGATCTCACGGCAAAGCGTGCTCTCTGGGAGGACACAATTTTCAGGGACCCCACTAGTAAAGCATGCTTAATAGAGCTTGGGTGGCCACTTGCTTTGCAATTTCTAATGAAACGGAGGCAGTGTGTTCCACTGTCAAAACAGCCCAGGGGGCCTCCGCTGCTGTCCTTCCCTGGCACTGCAGCTAGTGGCTGCTTGTATTTGATCACCCAGCTGCAGGGTTGTTGGCCATGGTAGCACTCACTGCACCTGCTAATTGACAACCAGCTTCTCCCTGCCTGGATGGGTTTAACCAGTGACTTCACTGTAATATGTGATGGGAGCAAATCAGGTGCTTGGCTCTGACTAGCAGTTGGGTAGCCATAAAGTTTTATCTCCCATAATACATTGTCATACTCGTCAACTGACCTGGGAAAAACAGAATATCCTATTTTTTTCCTGCAAGAGGACAGTGGCCAAAATGACTGTGTTATTTCAGGCTGCACTTTTTTTAGACATGGCATGCCAACACATGCATTTTGGGGTGCTGTGCCTGAGAAAAAGTTCTGTTGGGGGCCCCACAATCTCATACAGGTCACGTAACTCACACAGGGGTACAGGCCCAGAAGATGGCATCCTGGATTTGGGCAGTGTCGTTTGGGAAGGGATGCAATGCCCAGCATTCAGTGCTGGGTGCCAAAGCCTTGCATTGTGGGAGATAAAGCAAGGCTACTTCCTGTTGCTCACCAGAGCTGATTGGCTACCATCCTATTGCAGCATATGCCAATCTAGGGTGGGAGTATATGCAGTGCTGCCAAGTGGTGAGCACCAAGATGATTGGCAGTGGGCAACGGATAGTGAGGGCCCATATAAATTTAGCCCTGGTTATTCCCATGCACATAATTTTGAGGCTTATACCTTGATATTTGCCAGTTTTATTTTGTT